AGTATATTGTTACACCCCCTAGGGGTATCCAGTTGAGCCCAAAACCAATTCTCAAATCATCGAGATAAGCTCAAAACTGCACTTGAAACCAAGCCTGACTCTAACCAAGCATTCCAGCCCAACTGGTTGCGAGGTTACGGTGCCTAGTGAGAGGTTTCGAGTTCGAAACCCGCTAGGCACATAAAGGGTTTGAAACTCAATGGGGTGAGTTTCATACCTGATTCCCCCAGATCCCCCCGGAGTAAAAAAAACAAGCCTGACTCTTGGTCGAGGTCAAAGTCAATTCCGGTACAACAGCCGAGCCCAAGGTCAAATTCGATGTCAGATTCCTAATACCAATAAGAAAACACCCAGTTACCGTTCAAGTCATGCCTGGGACACATGAGCTGAACCTTGACATTTCTGGACTTAGCATAATTTGAGCTCCATCACATGGATCGAGCTTCCCAGCCTCTAAGCCTAGCATTTATATCTAGGCAATACACCTCCATGCCTAGGCCGAACCGAGCTCATGACCTTAAACAAATATTCTGGACTTAGTCATTTCAACACTAACATTCCACTCACCTAAGGGCAAATGTCACCAAAAGACTAACCGCCTTTAGGGCTGACGTCACTCATTCCGATATAGCAGCCAACTTCCGGGCTTACACGTGTGGTTTATCCAGCCATTCTGTGTTAGCAAAGGAATAATCTTCCGTACAACTAGTATCAATCGATCGAGGATTCTCTCACCAATCGAGCCTTACGTGTGGCACAATATCACTAGACTGGATATTTTACTTGTTCCCCAAGTATTTACCATTTGCAATATAAATATCGCCTTCCAACTTGTGAAAAGGGATCCGAAACTCTCTCTTTTAGCTACTCAGTTCATACCTAGTATATTTTCCTGACTCACACCCAGATTTCATGGTACCCTGGTCTTTTAGACTATCATTTATCAAAAATTATTCTGTTCTTCTAAGCAGACTTAAACAAAAAATATCAAAGAGAAAACCATATTGATTAAGAACTCGTTTTGTTTCAACTTCTAGCAGCGCTCTGACCTGCCTTTTATATGACCGAGGATGTGAGTATGTTATGCACAGACAATCCAATAGATCATTATAAAGGCAAATAATATTAATAATGTACACCAACATAAATTCCAAACATAAACGAACTCTTCAAAAACAACAAGGAAGAATGTCATAGAAAATAAAATAAAAAGACAGTATACGGTTGGGATTCTTACCTCAACTACAGCTTCGGCATAAGAAACCTTGATCTCATCTACCGGGCATGTGAAATCGTGGAACCCCAAGATCGAGTTTTTAAGCGAATTCCGCAAGGGGCACATTGAGGAAAACGACTTCGCGGTGCTTTCAACGCAAGTTAGGCTCCCAATTATCGTCATCAGAGCCAATCCAGCTCCCAGATTCCTCAATCTCGTCATTAGAGAAGTAAAATAAAATGGCTCGACAAGTAACGCCTGCGGACACAAAATGGACGAATCAAATCCGAACCTAAATCAAAGCAGAAAGGAGAAATAGGTAGCCGTAGCTGCAACGCCGGTCTCTGTGTGAGTGGAGGTGACAGCCAGAGCCCAGCGCATCCTAGCGTTGAGGCTCAGGGATAGATAAACAAAAAAAAAAGGATGAGAGATAGAGACAGGACCACAATTCCAATCTGACTAGAGTGAGAGTCCGTGTACGGACGCGCAGGAGAAACTTCCATTTTTATATAATCCCACTAAAATTGTCAAAAAAAGATCCATTTTTAGCGTAGTAATCCCTCCTACCATTTGTCCATTCGAAATATGATTGTATACGGACGCCCAGGAGAAACTTCGAAGTATGATTGAGAAGATATTTTTAGAAAGAAAACTATGGAGTATTTAATTCTTATTATTAATAAAATTATTGTTCAACAAATCGAGGGGATTGCTAAAAATTCAAATACAGTGATTTAACGGCTCTGTTGAGATGATGAGTCATGAGGGTGAGAAAAGAAAATACTACTCCGTAGTAAAATTAGAAGAAAAGAAAAGAATTGTTAGCTTCTAAAATTATGAGCTCGTTTTGTATCACGAAAATCGGCTGAACCGACTTATTTTACTGAAATTTATGAAAATTTGACTGAAGTGACTGCATTGGCTGATTCTACTGATTTAAGAAATAATTATTTGTAAAATACATTTTATTAATAAAATAAAGAAAAAAATATATGTAAAAATAGCTAAAATGGTCATCTACAGTAACTTCAGCCAATACAGCAGAAAAGTAACTTCAACTTATTTTTTTATTACACAATTCAGCGTGCGAAAACAAAAGTTACGTATTTGGTGAAAAAATTGACTGATAAGTCGAAAAACAGTGTTACCAAACGGCCTATATGTGTGTAATAACTTGAAGAACATCATACTCCCTCCGTTCTTTATTATCTGTCCCGCTAGCCTTGGGCACGAGTTTTAATAGAAAAACAGTAGGCTAAATGTAAAGTGTGTAGGGTAAATGATAAAGTAGGAAAGAGAGTATATTAAAAAGAGTAAAGTGGTGATAAAGTGATGATAAAGTAGGAAAGGGAGTATATTAAGTAGAGTAAAGTTATGATAAAGTAGGAAAGAGAAAGTAGTTTGTAAAAAGTAAGAGGGATAAAAGTAATAAAAGTAGGGGTATTTTATCAAAAACTTTCCTAAAATAGAAAGAGAGACAAATAATAAAAAACGTCCCAAAAAGGAATGTGAGACAGTTAATAAAGAACAGAGGGAGTATTCAGCATCGATATTATCCCAACATACGTTTCTAAGCCAACTCAACGCCTCCCTCAAGGATAAAGCCAGTCATCTATTTAGTCCCACCTACTGTGAAATAGCCACCAAGCCCACCACTATCCCGGACTACCCAGCCCAACCTACAAACTTGGACCAATATTATAGTAGCATTTGTATTGAGCTTTAACTAACCCTCATCCATCATCCGGTCTACTCCCACCAAATTACATTGTTGTTGCCCAGACTTGATGCACCCCTCTTGAGCTTTGCATCATCCTTCAGGGGGCTTATAGCCTTTGGAACGGCTATATAGCGATTGGGGTGGGGTTTGGGAGCTTGCGGGTTTAGGAGGGTGGGATGGAGTAAAAAAAAACTATAAACACCTTCATTTTCATGAAATTCTACACTTTTATTCTTACAAGTATAAAAACTATAATCACCTTCATATTTTATACAAACCTACAAAGTACAAAGTTAGAAATATAAAATATCTACTTATATTTAAATAAATAATATCTACTTATATTTAAATATATAATATTAAGTATATATTAAAGTATATGATATAATTATATTGTTCATCTCATAGCAATAAAGTTATATATTATATACCATATACTATTAGCATTATATTATAGTACTTCCTACGTCCTGTTAAGATTGTCTCATTTTTATTTTTTGAGAAATCCCACTAAAATTGTCAAATACCAAATTTGATAAAGTTTGTATGACTCTAAATTATTTTATCAACATCAAGCACATAAATTCACTTTTTTTAATAACCGTGTCACCCTCTCATGTCTCAATGTTAGTGTAACAGGGGTTGTATATATTAAGTACACTCATCACGTTTTCATGTCTGTCACATTTTCACATAGTCATATTATCATATTAGTTGCATTATCGTATTAATATTAGTCACATTTTGATATTAGTTACATTATAATATTAGTCACATTTTAAAATTTGGTGCGTTTTAATATTAGCCACATTATCATATTAGTTACATTATCATTTTTAATGTGCAACATATTTTGTTTATATTAATAATATACGGAGTAATAAATAAAGACCAATATTCAAACCCAAGACCGGCAACGTATCCGAGATCGAACTGAGACCAATATTATTCGAGTCAATCTCGAGCATCCATAGGTTTGAACCAGAACCAATCAGTCCAGGACTAGAATCGGGACCAGACCGAGACCACGTCTATCCCTATCCGGCTATCCCAAACTAAACTACACTTTGACAGTTGTGAAATACATATAGACCAATTCCGACTAGACAAATCAGGTTAGACTTAAATAGAACGGATCTAATTAGAAAATTTCAGTCCAATTTAAAGCATCCTTAAACTACATGATACCAAAAAAGAACTTGATTAAGAAAAGAGGGGTGTTATTAGAAAAGGATGTCAGATGATAGGATTAGACTATAAGAGCAGTTAGGATTATGGGTGGACTCGGGCCGGTTCGGGCCCGGTTCGGGCCTGGGCCCAGCCGAGCCTCGATTCATGAAAGGGGAGGCCCAAAACCGGCCCGGGTAACCCCCGAGTCCGGGCCGGGCCTCGATTCAATTTATATATTTTTTTTGGCTTTTCCTAATTAACCCCCAACCCTCCCCCCTCACCCCCAAACCACTCCAAACCACCTCAAATGGCCCAAAATACCCAGCATCCCAGCCCAATCCAAAAACTTAAAAAAAAAAATAAATAAATAAATTGGCCCAGATCAGGCCCGAACCGGCTGGACCGGTTCACCTTTTGAGGGGCCCAAGCCCGGACCGGAACCGGTAGTTTAGCAGAACGCATGGATGATGGATGATAGTATGATATGATTGAAAACAATCCAGTGTCAATTAAGCAATAAGACATAGTAACTAGGGATGGATCTGGGTCAGGCCGGGCCGAGCCTGGGCCTAGGTGATACCGATACTAGAAAATTGGAGCACAGTACCGGTCCAGGTATGCTCCGGGACCGAGTCTAGTCCGGGTCCAAACAGTACCAGGCCCGGGCCCGTAACAACCATTCAATTTAAAAAAAAATTGCAGTTGGGAGCAGACCGAGCCCGGTCCAAAAAATCGAGCCCGGAGCCCGTCCCTTATAACCACCAGTCCGGGTACCGGGCCAGTACGGGCACCGGTAAACCAGGCCGGTGCCGGGTCGGGCCACCCAGACCCAATCCATCCCTGATAGTGACTAGCAAGTGAACTGAGCAGTTTAACAGAACGCATGGATGATACGATTACACAAAAAACTTTAGATTTCAAGAAAACAATCCACTATCAATCCACACTTCAAACTTTCATATATGCTTTTAATAATCTCTGAGTGTAGGTGAAGAACTCCAGAGCAAGGAGGTACCCATGGTCAAGATAGCAGTGCAACGTAGTTGACAAGCTTCAGAGCGCCATGCAATTGATGCAACAATATCATCTCTTTCCTTGTGAAGAGAGCACTTCATATCTTGGCTTGGTGTAACCTAAAGTGATAAGCTTTTCCATCAACTTTTTCTCTGCTTCAGCCTGAGTACATAAAAAAAGCGTGAGGAATGTTTTCAACATCCAGGAATGTAAATACCAAAATGTGCATATATGGAACAAATAAGGAAAAATGATGAAAACTGAAAGTCCTGAAATGTAGGGTTTTCAAGACTTGGGGAAAGAAAATAGGGGAGATGTTATTGAGCGAATTTGGAAGGATAGAAACTATAGATGAAAATAAAGCATTGATATGAACTCAATAAATGTATGTTTACTATTTGTTCCTTTTCTGTTTTAAATAAACAATTTATACTCCGTACTACTTTTGATATGAACTTTAACGTGTGTACGGAGGACAAAGAATTCTGTTGGTAATCAGGGACATGTGGCACACGATCCACAACAAGTGGGAGTTAGGCACAGCTCTCGGGTGATGAAAGAAAATATAAGACTGAAAGATTACGCAACTCGGTCAAGTTGGAGGTGAAACTTCTTCCCGAACCTGTCTTCTTCATCTCAAATTCTCTCTGTTCCTTTTCTGATTATTCTCTAAACATTCCCGTTCATTTTTATCTCTATACTAGGTGAGGAATACTGCTGCTGTTCACTGAAAGATGAATCTCTGGAGCCAACCAGTTTGATTGTTCCTTGTTTTTTCTTCTTCTTAATCTTTGAGACTTGTTGCCAGACAATTGTTGCTATTAATAAATTGTAATCGTACTCTTGTCGTATACTCTGAGTTAGTATTTCGTTCCATGAACTCAACAACAACAACAACATCCAAGCCTTAATCCCAAAAGAATTTGGGGTCGGCTAACATGAATCGATCTATGATATCGATGCCAAAAAGAGAAGGCGGACAAGAAAAGGAAAAAAAAGTAAGATAAAATGAATAAAATAAAGATACATAAATATAAGATAATAATAACACAAGAGAGAAAAGGTAGACAAGACATCAATCGTCCACATGGATGTGCGCCCTCCACTTTGCTCTCTTCAAAGTCATACTCTCATCCAACCCAAGAAGACGCATATCAGTTCTGATTACTCTAATCCAAGTCTGTTTGGGTCTTCCCCTCCCTCTCTTCTCTGACCCTTCTCCCCACCCCTCAAATCGTCTAACAGGTGCATCACTCGGTCTTCTATGCACATGCCCAAACCACCGCAAACGAGACTCCTGCATCTTATCTTCTATAGGTGCTACTCCCACCTTTTGTCTGATTACCTCATTCCTCAGGCGGTCTTTTCTGGTATGTCCACACATCCAACGCAACATACGCATCTCTGTCACACTCATCTTTTGAATGTGGCATCGCTTCACCGCCCAACACTCTACTCCATACATTAATGTCGGCCTAATTGTTGTACGATAAAATTTACCTTTCAATTTAGTCGGCATACCTCGATCGCATAGAAATCCTGAAGCACTTTTCCATTTCATTCACCCAGCTTTGATTCTATGACATACATCTCCATCTAATTCACCATCCTTCTGAATTATGGATCCCAAGTAACGGAACATATCACACACCGGTATCTCCTTACCATCAAGAGTAATCCCACTGTTGCTACCGCTTCTACCTACACCGTTCCATGAACTCAAAAGGAAAAAAATGTTGTTCTATGAGTTGATGAAAAAGAGAGTGGTAATCCATATTTCACGTTGATCTACTACTTCTGTGATGAGTTCCCTCTAAAATATGGATTTCTTTTTACCTGGTTTAAGATCTGGTAGGCTACCATCCTCTTATCGGTATTATAAGTTCCCTATGTCCGCTAAAAGTTGAGCTATAGGGTTCTATAAGTTTTAAATTTATAAATTAATCTGTCAACTAAACCATGAGTGGCTAGGGTTTCATCTTAAGTATAAAATTGAAGATATTGTTTATCAATGCAGATTCATATAATTCATTAATCCGTATTGTAGTTAGTTTAATTAGGCCCAAATTGAATGTGAGGGATGGCATGAATCACATACCTCAAGCATGGGGCTATTTTTAGGGATATTACAAGCCACTATTATATTGAGGCCAGTCTTCAAAACTGCAAAAAAAATCTTAACATTAATAATTTAATATATACAAAAGATATCTTGAACGCGATTTTATGTGGATTGATACTTACCTAACCGACGCGCAATTCCAGATCCAGTATTATCAGATGATCCTCCAAGTAAGCAAGTAACAGAAACTGCATCGTTCTGTGTATATCATGAGGTGAGAGAAGAAACAAAACATTGTCAAAGAGGATAAGACATGGTCAATCCGTCCCACTATGTTTGGGACAAGAGGGTGTGTCACAACTTTTAAGAAAAAGTGGAATTGTGTGGTTGATATTGAATTAATAGTGTAAATAAAGTAAGAATGAATTGTAACCACCCAAATATTACCAAATTTGGTACAAGACAAACTTAATGGGACGGATGAAAAAAGTAAAACGGGACAAAGTTAGGGGGGCGGAGGGAGTGTCTTTTAGTGTGTGTGAAACTTACTTCAGCCAAAGTGTTATAACTTAACCCTATAGCATCTTCAACTTATACCAATTTGTATAGTTCATATCAAACAATCATGAAAGTAAAAAAGGAGGCAACATACTCATAGAGTGTAAAAATGGAGCATCACACAAAAAGTAAATAAGATCCTTACAGGGCATGTAGGTCCAGCTGCATACAGATGTCCAAATTTTGCAGTATTGCAGCCTATCCATACATATATCTAATTGTGCAGAAATCAATTTACATGTACAGTCAGAATTATAATCGAATAGGAGTCAATTTACTCACAGTATACGATCACCAAATACAGTAGAAGAGCAGACAAATTGCATTTGAAATACAGTTAAGCACTAGAATGCAGAAAACATTAACATAAAATTGAAAGATCTATATATTCAGAATGAGAGCTGAATTTAAAAAAACTCTGTCATAATTTGCTTTCTCTTTAATCTCTTTTAAGCCTTTAGAAGTTATCATGTTTAACTCCTTCCATTGCTAAATAGTCTTCACTTTCCTATTATCTCATGTTTTCTTTGGAGAAAAACATTATATGGCTCACATTATTTCTCTTTCCTCTGAATAAATTATGAACAACACAATTTTCAACTTCTTGATCCCTACATGCTAGTCAAATTGAGTATTCATAATAATGATATGTTACCAAATATAATATGCCAAATACTAATTTATAATAAATTCTTAACAAGAGTTTAAATTAAGTTTAAAATATTACACTGTAATTATAATTATAATAAATATTAACACACAGTACCATATCTCATAAAAATCTCCTTCACTAAACTTCCTCAGCTAAATCCAAACACGATGTGATGACATTGGAGGAAAGTTCAAACAATCCAACCATTTTCAGAAGGCCTTTCGGTGAATATCCTGACTATAAGACAGTGACAAAAATTGAAAATGCCAAGTCCAGAGAAAGTAATAAAGAGGCGGTGTTTGCAATCACAAAATCTCTGAATTCCACTGCATTTCAATTTTCAGTCAATTACATATGTGCATCTGAGCAGTTCATACATACACATTGAAAGGAACTTACCTGTTTGAGAAGACGAATGATCTGGAAATGGAGATTGACATCATCATGGGAGACTTCAGAAAAGCACGTGATCTGCACGCCACAATCATTGTCTCCTTCTACTGAGCTAGAATTTATAGAGTTGTTCGGATCTGTGAGTTTCAAGTGCTTGATGTTGTACTTCAATGCATCGATTTCCATTTGTTCTCTTGAATCTATTTATCAAATAAATTGTTGTGCAGATGAATAAGAATATAGTGAATTCATATCTGAAGTATTCATGAATTGTTAATCCATAGATTCGTTGTCTTTAACCCAATTAAAAAAGAATAAACCTGTGACTCAGTAAAGTTTAGAAAGTTGGACTTTTAAATGAATTGTTTTCGTGAATTGCTACTCCTATTTTTATGAATTTTTGTAAATTTTTACTATTTAGTTTGAATTGGCACTCCTATGTTTATAATTAGCGAAGTTTTAAATGTTGTAGTTTAAAGTATAATTAGAACTCAGACGGTTTCCCTGCTACCTTCATGTTTTGTCTCTTTTGTTGACTGCTGAGATGTTGAAAGGTTTGGCCACTTGTGAAAATAAACATATCTTGCGCTCATAATCAAATAATCAATCAATAACTTGATATTGTAAACTGTTACTGAGACAAACAGTATGTGTGTATACATACATACATATATATATACACACACACACACATACATATATAAACACCTCAAAATTTACAAACTACAAACTCATCTTGGTCATCGGATGAGTTGATCTGAATGCTATAGACGCATGTTGGCGTTTGGTAATAAAACCAAACTTATGCAGCACTTTGAACATTAATATGCAACTGCTTATTTCATTGCAGAATAAGATGCCACACTTTGAACGTTAATATGCAACTGCTTAAAGTTACATCATACAAATATTTGCACATTAAGCATTGTTTGTACCTGATCCGCCCCCTAGATATTTATATATATATAGAGAGAGAGAGAGAGAGAGAGAAAGGAATGATCCCGTCCAGCCGCCTCATTCTGAGGTGGTTCTCGGTGAATTTTTTTTGATGAAATTTGTTGAGCATGTTCTTCATGAAATATAGATTTTGTCCACCAAATTTCAGCTTAAATTCAATCAAGAAGGCAGTTAAATAGATTATTTAAAAATATTGTGCTTTATATATATCATGGTTTAGAAGGGCAAGAGGCGGGTTTTGAGGCTCACCTCAAGGTGGGGCGAACATATTGGGTATCAGGGCTTAGGTTCTTTTCGCAGGTTAAGAGGCTCACGCCTCAAAAGTTGAGGCGTACTTCCTTTGTTTATCCTATGTTTATGAGGCTACATATTGTCATGACTCATGAGGCATTTTTAGGCATTTTTCCTTTGTTTTCAATGTGCAGTAACTTAAAAAAGGCCCTAAGGTATTTCATTTAATAAAAGGCCCAGAGTGCTTTTTTAATAGAACTCCATTAATTAAACATGTGGCCACACTAAACCCTAACAAGTCTTATTTCATTTAAACCATAACAAGTCTTTTATTCATTTAAACCTCAAGTCCCTAACATATACTTTCTATTCATCTTTCAGTTTGTGTGTGATATGTTTGTTTGTGTGTGATGATTCAGTTTGTGTGATGTCTGTCAAAAGAAAATTTGTGTGATGTTTCTGTTTGTGTGTTTAAATCCCAATGACTTACTGGCTCATATGTGTTTGTGTTTCACACTTTTTGGACTTTTAATTATGAATATTTCATTTACTTCTTTAGTGGTTTGTTACTAGTGTAATTATTTTAAGTTTTATATCTCTATATAATTTGAGTCTTACGCTTCAAGGCTTATGCCTCGCCTCTTAGACACAAACTGCCTTGATACCCGAACCCGCCTTTTTAAACCTTAATTCACATAAACACAACATTGTTTTTTAATTCCACATTTGACTGACTTCTCGATCGAATTTTAAACTGAAATTTTGTGGAGATTATATACATTTAATTCGTTAAAAAGTTCCACCGGGAACCACCACAAAATGAGGCGACCGGACGACGGATCCTGTGAGGTCGACCTGACAAGATCGTTACACTATATATATATATATAGGAAAAGGATCACCTCAAATAGTTCTGATGGGAAGCGCCGTCCGAACTTATCTATTTGAGGTGCTTCCCGGTGGAATGTTTTCATAAAATTTTGTGAGCATGTTCATCATAAAGTGTATATTATGTTAACAAAATTTCAGCTTAAAATACAATCGGAAGTCGGTGAAATAAATTATTGAAAAACACAATGTTTTTAATATACATTTTGATGCAGTTTTTTTCAATAATTTATTCAATTACCTCCTTGACTTAATTTTAAACTGAACTTCATGATAAACATGCTCAAAAAATTTCACAAAAAAAAGTCCACCGATACGCACTTCAAATAAATAAGTGTGGATTGGGCTTCCCATCAGGACTAACTATAAGGACATAACTGGAAATCATTCTGCCATATAAAAAGGAAGTCCCCTTCACTGTTCCAATATTCTGAATTTAGAAAGAAATACATTGATAATATTAATAATTTTTTAATTGGGAACAAATGCATTAGTCACACCATATCATATAAATAGGGTATTCTTACCAATTTGAAAATATTCCCCATTAAGTTTTAGTAAATTTTATCAATTATTTGGCTTCCAAATTAGTAATTACTGCATATTGTGTATGCTACTACTTCATTTTATAGTATATGCGGTGGTATTCGCATATATTATACATGATATGTACCTTATACGATAGTATATGTGTGTAAAATTATTATACAAACCTAACATTTAGTGATAAAGATTTTTTTTTGTGATAAAGATATAATACCTCATACCTTATAAATACCTAAATATGTTATCCTTCATACAAATACTAAAATTATTATACGACCCTAACATTCTAACCCGTAGCTTAAAATATTTTCTTTGGGAATTTCCATAAGCTAAAACTGCAATCCTTATTTGACACTAAAGCATGCACTATATGAAAAGAATGATAAGGTCAATAAATAAATAAATGAATAATTAATTAAATGTATAAATAAATTAATAAATTAATAAATTAATAAATTAATAAATTAATAAATAAACAAACAAATAAGTAAATAAATAAATAAATAAATAAATAAATATGAGAGCTAGCAATTACAGTCTTACAGACATGTGACTGAAAAATTTGCCGCCCTTTAGGGCAAGAGACGATGACACAACGAAATCACACAAATGACACAAATTATACATCCATTCAAAATTTCCTAGAACAAATTAACATTTTACTCTTTGCACACTCATCTTAACATTGAAGCTATTAATACTTAAATTAAAGTATAAAAACATTTAAAAAACAGAAACTTACCTGCGTGTAGGCGAGTGTGGAGTGCTGCGAGTAGCAGAAGGCCAGAAGCCGGATAAAAAGCCGAGAAGCCGCAGGCAGCACTCAGCAACGGCGAGAGGTGGCGGACTGCTCTCTGGCGTGGGCGACGGATTGGCAGGCGACAGACGTCAGTGTGAGGCCGTGCGGGGCTGCGATTTGCGACGTGCGTCCGAAGTCCGGACGGCCAGTGCGGGAACTTTTTTCATTTCTTTGGTCTCTTTCATTTGGTCATGCACTTATACGTATTGCGGGCCAGATTATTTTTTTTTTGCACCGGCCCAATTATAGTTTTCTTCATTTCTTGTTTATAAACTTCCTTGGGCCCAGCCCCTCCCTTGATTCCCTTCTCCTCTGAATGAAGTAAATAATGAGGCATTTATGTTTTATTCTAATCATTCAAGAGTCATTCAATCCATATTTTTTTAGAATCGAATCAAAAATGTCTATTATACTTTATTAAAATAGAGAACTTTGTGAATGAATAAATGGAAAAAAAATTACAAGGAAAACCGGAGTCAATCAATCCATAAATATCAATAGTTAGATTTTTTTTTAGAATTGGATGAGTTCATTTCAAAATAATAATATTATATTGTAGTATTACCTAGAGAATCTCGGGTATCATCCATCAGTGTCATTCCAGACACCATCTAAATTTTTTTATCAAAAATAAATAAATAAATAACACGAGAATTGTTTGCTGAAATATTTATTTAATGGGCACGTAATAATTCTTTTTATCATAATTTAAATACCGGGTTTTAACAGGGTTAACCACATTGACCCATGACTCAGTCATTCAACCGAGTCATTTCCCGGACGGGTTTTAACAACACAGCAATAGGGTATTCCAACAATAGATTAATCATCATGCAGTCCAACTGAAACGTTGAGCATGTTATAAAAGTACGTCTACATCTTCTTGTTGTTCATAGGTCAGTTGTGCTATCCATTAGAATAATATCACAAAAGCATCATACAAAGTCCGGCGAAGAAGAAAGGTTGTGGACAACAAGGAATGAAAGTTTTAAAACATTCTAATTAATCTTATAGTTTTATGCATTGGAAACAGCACATAAATTAGGGTTATGTAATCATTGATGACTTGTCTAATTTAAGGAATTCAAGTATTTTCTTTATTATAAAAGTTCTCAAATATTGTTATTTTGCATGTTAATTGAGATAGTAATAGGTTTTAAATTAGATACTAATAGGTTTTACAATTTTTTTTTAAAATTAGGCCCATTTTAAATTATTCGCATCCAATGCTTTCATTTTTAAATTAGGCCTTCAAATAAAGAGGGCCGTCCATCCCTGATCGTGGGTCGGGTGATGTGCTTTCTTTTTTTTCTTGGGAAGAAGTTAAGGACTTTGAACCTCTCGTTTTACTACTTCCTGATCAAGAATCCCAATCACTCGCTCCAAATGTGTTTGATTAGTTAGGTATGATGTTTCTTAAAAGCCTATCCAAAAAAAACTATGTTCCTACATTCACGTGTTTGATTAGGCATGATGTTCCCATTTCGTGGATATGACTCATTAAAACTCTTTCAAAAAAACACGTTTTAGGGAAAAACCTTGGTCTAAGAAGAAATACATACAATGATGGTAAGTTGGTAACTAAATCTCACTTCAAGTTCCATGACACCGAAAACAAGGCCCGACCCGGCCGGGGCCGGGCCCGGTTCAGGCCAAAAACTATTTTTTTTTTCAATTTTTTTTAAATTTTCGGGTTGGGCTGGGTATTTTGGGCCATTTGGGGTGGTTTGGGGGCTTGGGGGTGGGAGGGGGGTTAATTAGGAAGAGGGAAACAAAAAAAAAATAATGGGCCCGGCCCGGCCCGGACCCGGACCGGACCCGGTGGACGGTGGTTACCCGGGCCGGTCCCGGGTCCACCATTTCTGACCCGACGGCCTGCCCGGGCCTAGGCCCGACCCGGACCCGACCCGGACCCGAGTCCATCCCTACGTAGAACGGACATCAACAAGACCAGCTCAGAATCTCAGATCAAGCCAAAATAGACTAGATCATACTATAATAGACCAGAAAATTACAGCCCAATTAAAATAATCATTAGCCGAGATACTTCCTTAATTAGTGGCAAAGATCACCACTCTTAGGGAAGAGTAGTTAAGATAAATCTTTCAGCATGTTTTGGAATGAGAGCGCCAAATGGAGAATTACTGCCAGAGAAAAAGTGTAGTATTACTGCCAAGAGAATTTACTGGAATGAAATTCTAAAGAGAGCAAATTAGAGACGACAGAGAAAAAGTTGTACTCCGTATTACATTAATGAATAGGAATTCAGCTGGATAGAGCATATGCTTCCTTCTAGAATAAGGACAATTCATATTCCTTTGGCATTCCATTACATGGGACCAAACCGCATTTGAAATATAAGTGTGTTGCCATAGGAGGACAACAAATTGTTGTTGGAGAGTGCAGATAGGTCTTTCATTGATTAGTTTACACTTTTACCCCTAAAAATAAATAAACAAATAATAAAAACTACGGCATGTATCTAAACGCGTACCAACGAAGCCAATCTTCACCCTTTTCGTAATAGTCCATCTTACTGAAAGTCTGGTGTGGGAATCGCTGGGAAGCAGCATAAGTAGCAGCACCACGCCAAGCATCATAAATGGGATTAGATGCTCTAAGAACACGTATAGGTGTTCCACACGGCCTTATCATCCGAATTCCGGCTTCCAGCCGTTCCGCCATGCCAGGATAGAGACAGCTCCCACCAGTCAAAAGAATTGAATTTGTCATCCTGTCCTCCAAGGAACCTGATTCGTGCTGCTTCACCTTATATGGAGTCAACCTCCTAGTGCACACACCAACCATTTCATCCAACCCTGCTTGGTCAATTCCAATTAAGTTGGGGCTGAATAGGACTTCTGGACACCGGAATCTTTCTACCCCGACAATGATCTGGAAATCTTCCTTTGAGAGAGGACGAAAACGGGGTGGCTCTGAGACAGAGGAGGGTCCTGATTCAGACTTGGGGAAAAAATTTGGGTCTATTTCCTGCACAAGTGTGACCATTCAAAGAGTATTAAAACTGATAAGGTGTCAACACATGCACAAAATTATCTATAGATAATGGCACTTGTGGTAATGATATGTTTGGTATGTGTTTGAAATTTTCGTTTGAGTTCTCTATTGTGACAGTGATACTTTTTGTCCTCCAACCATTGTTAGTACCAAAAATAATAATTGAAGGACTGAATGTGTCGCTCTCATATAATTGTTCCAAAAGCAGAAATGCTCAAAGATAGGTACCAGAAATGTCTATACAATAATCTTAAAAGACCAAAAGCAGAACTATTCAAAAATGGGTACCAAGTGTCATAACACAACAGTCGCAAGACTAAAAGAGAGGACAACTTGGTGTTCTTTTACTCACTTGAAGTCTAGAAGAAATGCGAGTCAACTCTGTTTCATCTGGATCTGGCTTCTCATCATCACCGTCATCATTATCTCTGCTCATTAGCTTGTAAAGTTGCCAATCTTCATCTTTCTGACCAAAAGTATCTTCACCCTTCCCTCGATCAAATGCTGCTGTGGTTAGCAAGCGCATCCTCTCCCTTTGCTGGGCACTCAGCCTTTCGCCTCGACCAACACCTCCAGAGACATTTTGGTTCCCATTTCCATTATCGCCATTCACCTTGAGACGTTTTCGCTGCTCAACTTTCCCCGAAAGCTCATTGTATTTAGTGTGCAACTGCTCCAAATAACGCTCTGGGTTTTCTCTGTATTTTAATACACAAAGAAAACTAGTAAATTAATACATAGCATTTATTTCAGAAATCGGGAAAATTATCATGCAATATTGCATACAAGCGCCTTTCTTCTTCTAGTTTCTTCTCCCTTTCTCTTTCTAATTCCTCTTCCATACGCTTCTGTTTAGCACGCTCCCGTGCCTCAGTGGTTGCCTTCATAAAGACCTGCTTCCTTTTCTCCCTGAGCTGTGAGAGATATTGAACAAATGTCCCAAATTAATTGAAGCAAACAAGAAAAGTGGAAAATGTGTTATGCTGATCCAAGTCTATAAAAATTAAAGCGTTTGCTATTAGCTTACCAAATATTGTGATACCACTATACCAGCTTTATCCAGAAAAAACGGGTAAATCAAATAAAATGCCAAGAAATATATTTCTAAAATATAGAAATGAATGCACATTGTTCATGTCTTGTAATATCAATGCTACCCCCTCAACTAAAAATGATGATTCAAACATGACTCATTTTTTAAACGGAGGTAGTATTATCACAATGCTTTATAGAAGCCTCACATTCCATACCTGCTCAGCTGAAAGTTGATCATCAGGAACATCAATGAGATAATACTTTTCGGCTGCAGAAGGCTCAACTTTGTCTTCATTTGGAACTTGTTCACCCTTGGCTTTTCTCAAAGACTGAGTTGCCTTTGAAATTGCAGATTCAACTTCTCGTTTAGAGGCATAGCCCCTACTTGCAACAAAAGAAGGAATATCCTCCTCCTCAACCTGGTTGAGCTCCTTTAAGAGGAGTTCCAAACCTTTTAATTCATTTTCAAGTTCATTTATTCTAGAGGATCTCTTTGCTTCAGCCATCTCCCGCAACCTTTGGCTTTGTTTCTCCTTCAAAGCTGCTTTTCTAGCAATTTCTTCTTCGGATGGGGGCTCTTCAACTAGTGATGGCGTCCAAGGGAGCTGCCAACATCTAGTCTTTTCTTCGGCTGTCTTGTCTCCTTTCTGTTTTAGTTAATGAATCATTCAACAAGGATGGAAGAAATCAAGATAATAAGAAAGAAAAGGATGGTTTAAAGAAAGGGCAGACATAATTTACCTGAAACAATCTAACCTCTGAAGTATAATCTGCTGCAATGTAGCAGTGTTCCATCTTCAAGTCTTCAACCTTCTCCCATGTAAGCTTAAGCCTGATTAAGCACCCAGAAATATGGAATAAATGATTCCAGTTTTTTCGTGATGATTTAAAGAGGAAAAAGGAGTTTCAGAACGTACATGTGATGAGGATACTTAAGGGAAAGAAGTTGTTTTAAATAATTAGTGACGTGATATCCACCAACATTTGTCCTGCAGCATGCCTCGTATACAGGTTCTCCATTGAAAAACTGTAGGAATACAATATGAACAAATATATCATCATCGTATGCAGAGAGCAAGAGATAGGGTAGAAATTATTTTCTTCAATTTTTCCATGATGCATGTTTCA